TTCAAAAACCAGCTGAAGTTCCATTTGAATCGAGCCAAGGATTTAATGACTCAACATGCAAACAAGAAGAGGAATCCAGCAAACATAAAGGTGGAGGATTGGGTTTTCTTGAAGATTCGACCTCATAGGCAATCTTCTAGGCTCACAAGGCTCCATCCGAAGTTATCAGATCGTTACTTTGGCCCACTTTTCAAGTGTTTGCAGCAGGGGATGGGAAGAGAAAAGAAAGTGGGCGTACCGTTATAGACTAGGTTAAACCCGGAAAACAAAACTAGGGATACCACCCAGTTCTTCCAGGTATTCCCAGCTTCAAGAAGGCAGTGGGGTTTGAAAAAAGGGAAGGTGGAGAAGGAAAATATTGCCGCTTGAGTTTGCAAAGCAAAGAAGGGCCTACTTTCCGGGCCAGTTTCGGAATCATAGAGGGGAAAGCAGGCAAGTGCAGCAGGGAGAAGGAAGGGTGGTGGCAAGGCAAGTCCTGGTGGGTGGTGAGAGAAATGGCAAAAGGGAAAAGGAAAGGGGGGAGGGAGAGAGGGTGCAAAAACCTGGGAGGACAGGAAGTACATATCAAGGACCAAATATCCCGGGAGTTCAACCCTTGAGGGCAAAGGGTTTGTTGAGGTGAAGCGGAAAGGGTAATGTTAGGACATGGAAGAGTGGTTAACGAAGTTTGAGAAGAAAAAATAAAAAAGGAAAATTTAAAGAAAATAAAACTATTAATTTGGCCTAACTGCTTAGCGTTAGGAAAAAGGCGGGGAAATTGAAATTATGGGAATGAAAATAAGAAAGGGAATGGGGGGGAAATGGGAAATAAAATAAAGGAAATTTACAAAATAACCATTTTGTTTAATTGAGTAGGGGACTTTTGAACTGTTGGGTGGTTTTCTGACAGGAATTGTTAAATCCTGTGGGGGAGGTTTTAGGCATCTCATTTGGTTCTCGTACATTGGAATTCTGGGTTACTGTCAATACAGAAGAGATTATTTCTTTGTTGTTGTGTGTGGTGTTCGATGTGAATCGCGTTTATTAGTTTGTTGAGGGTTCTTGAGTAGAAACCTATCAGTTGGGGTCTAATTAATAGGAAGACAGAATCATAGGTGAATTGGTGTGGCGGCAAAGATTTAAAAAAGTCACCATTCCCCTTCAACTTATACTCCCAAAAGGTACCAAGTAATAAAATGGCAAGAGGAAAAGAAGAATAGAGGAAAGAGAAGACAGGGGAAAAAAAAAAAAAAAAAAATGGGCATCCACAAAGGGCAAAGCTAGGGGGAAAAATCTTGTTAGTCATTCCAAAAGATAAAGGCCCATGCAAAAAGCAAAAAATAGCTAAAACATGACAGTGATTACCAAAAAAAAAAAACATAATTATGCCCCTGCCTTGTTAGATTGTCCACTTGAGTTCGAGAAAGATGAATCTTATATATTTTGATCAAGCTAAAGTGATTACACTTTACTGTTGTTTTTATAGGGGAAAGCAAGAGTAGGTTAGTCTGAAAGAATTTAAAAAAAGGGTGGGAAAGCCACAGCCACTAAACAAAAACCCTAGAATAAAGTATAATAATTTTAAAATAAATAAATGACATTATACTTCAACAAACTCCCCCTCAAGCTGGAAGGCATATAGATCATATGCACCAAAGCTTGGAAACATAATATAAATTGAATTCTAGGGGGGCCCCTTCTTAGAGATTTGGTTTTAGGAATGTTCTCAAGTGTTCATTTAGATGTTGACAAACTCGTAACAAGATGATCTTTTGCACAATAAAACTTCTCTTGATTAAAAATGACAATTAATCTTCTATGTGTTTGTTCTTTCATTGAAAAACACTGGATTGGAGGGACCAAAGTGGAAGGGCCGCTTGCCGCTTGATTGTCACAGTTACAAACTTCATCTAGCTCAATTTTTCACAAAATTTTCAAAAATCTTGAAGGAGGTTGTCTAATCCCACACAGTTCCACATGTTAGGTTAGAGCCATAGATCGATACTCAGCTTCAGCATAGATCAACAACAACACTTTGTTCTTAACTTTCAAAGATACAAGGTTCCCTTTCAAGTTAAAACACAATATCCTGATAGATCTTCTGTCAATTGGACAACCAGCCCAATCTACATCACAATATCCCTCAACACGAGTGCTTCCCTTGTCCTCATACAACAATTCGTGTCCTCGGTTTCTTTTTACATATCTGAGAATGCGAATCACTGCATTCCAATGATCAACATGTGGATTTTGCATAAATTGACTCACAACTCCCACCGGGGAATCTGAATAGATTAAGAAAAATCAGGTCTGTTATGGTAAGATAGATGAGTTTTCCAAACAAGCCTTCTATATCTCTCTGGGTCTGAGAGAAAGTTCACCTTGGTCTGTAATTGGGACTTTTTGATTTTTTGAGTCCATAGGGACTATAATAGCTTGCAATTTTTTTCAGGCCGTTTGTTTCCTCCAAAAAAATATCAAGAGCATTAGTTTCTTTGTGTGGAAATGGAAATTGATTAATTGATTGCCACCTTCCTTTGATTTGTGCCAATGCATACAAAGGGAAATATTTTTAGCGGACCCAGATTTTTGGTTTGAAAAAGTGGGGTTGACCAAAAAATGAAAATGGATTCTTTAATTGAGCAAAAAATTCCAAATGACGTCATTTCCTACCTAATGACAATTATCATCAACTAGACCACAAGGGATAAAACACATTTATCAGAAGAAGGGAGTGACTATAAAAAATACTGATGGAATGGATCCGCCACTCCCTACATCGTTTCAATCCAAAATTCTGCCACAAACCCGACCTAAATTTTACCAAAAACCCAAGCTCGAGGTGGATTTGATTGCTTCAAAACCATTAAAAACGACAACGATGTTTTTTTTTTGTAATTTACAAAACTAAAACCCAGACTTCCCCCTGAGCAACAAACCCAGAGGTTGTTGCTCCATGTATATCTTTCTTCTAAAATCACCATTTGAAGGCAAAGGCCATTTTTAAATGTCCAACTGGTTAAAGGAGGCAAAAATTGGCGAAAATGGCAGGCCCACATAGGCAAGCAAAAATCGAAAAACAGTACTGGTTTAAAGCCACAGGGATGAGATAAAAAAGGTTTTATCACAAAAGTTCGAGGCCCCATAGAACTTGAAAGTATATCCCTTAGCTAAACTAGACAAGCATTTGATGGACGATCAATGCGCCACCAGTAGGGGACCCCAAAAACCTTTTAATTAAGCACATAGGGACCCCATCTACAAAACCAACAGGCTTCTTACCAAGAGGGAAAGAGGACAAGGGCCCAAGGTTGGCCATTTGTGTTCAAGTTGCCTGCCATTTCATTTCATCAATTCATGGGCTTGTCCGCCATCCAGGATGGGACACAAGTGCTCATTAACATTATTAGGAACCTTAATGGGGGAAGATAATGGGAAAAAGAAAACACAAAGGAGAAATATGAGAGACAAAAACGGATGATTAAAAACTCAAAAAAAATTATAAAACAGGATTAAAGGATTATTACGAAGGGTAGGGCGAATAGCTTTCCGAAGGGGCAATAGGGCCAATTATTATTTAGTCAAGAAGGGAGGGTGGAAGGAGGATTGAGGATCCATTGGTTTGGGAATTTGGGAATCTTGATGGAAGGGAGGGATCTGAGTCTCAGGATCTTCAGTGTTTGGAGTTTGAGATTGTGGGCCGACGATGTGATATGTGAGAGGAAATGAGGGTGGAAGGAAAACAATGTCATTTTCATTTTGAGTTTGAAGGGTTTTAAAAGAAGCAGGGAAGTAGTAGAGTAACCAAGGGAATCACATGATGGTTAGAGGGAAAACATTTGTTGAACAATATGAAAGCGACAAGGGGGAAAAAAGGTTTTTGGTTGTATCTTCAAAGAATGTGTGTGACATCAGTAGGGACATATAATTACCTATTGTGGTTGAGGGGGAAAGAATAAATTTATAACCTTTCTGAAGGCGAGGAGGAGGAAGGAGTATTCCCAAAAAAACCAAAAAAAAAAAAAGACCACACTTAATAGCCCTTTTTTGTAGAAGAGTTTATTCAAAGGGGACCCTGGATAAACAATTATGACCAAAAACAAGTACACCCAAATATACGAGGAAGGACATGGTAAAAGGAGGGTAGGGGTCATTGGAAAAAAAAAAAATGATAGAGTGAGGGAACTTTATTCTCAAAGAGAGGGAAGAAGGCATCCTATTGATTTAGAAAAAACAGCAAGTTAACAGTGTGGTAGTTAAGTTTAGTTTAAAGAGTTAAAAAATTTTTTTTTTTTTTCAAAATTATTAAAACTGCCCCCATCACCCAATTGATGAAACTAGGAAAGGAAAAACATAGTATTCAACATTCCAAGGAGCGTTGCAGTTTCAAGGTTTCCAATGAGATTGTCTCTATCTTTCTCTTGCAAATGCCATTTTGTTTGTGGATGAAGTGTGGGGCCCCATGTTACTAGTTGTAAATTTCCTGGGAAAAGAAAAGAATGAGAAAAAAAATGCTGCAGAAAAAAGTATTCCTTAGGCATTCTTCACTTCTAGGATTTTAATTGTCTTTCCCAAATTGGTTCTTAATTTCATTACAATCAGACACAAATAATTGCCAAAAGTTCAGGATCTCTCTTTCATTAAATTAAAAAACCAAGTAATCGAGAAAAAATTCATCAATATGGGAAGGTTACAAAAAAAAATAATATTAAAAACCAAAAGAGTAAAAAACACGACTCTGGTTCCCCAAACATATCAGGACAGTGAGTGAATAAAGTTGAAAAAAAAGTTTTAAAAATTACTCGCTCATCAGACTTTTTTAGGACGTAGGAAGATCTATATCTAAACATGTTTTCCTAAACTGGAAAAAAAAAGAACTCACAATCTAGACTTGTAATGTGTTTGAAGACTAGGGGAAACCAATTCCTCTTCAAACTTGGAATAAGTTGGGGTTGATCCCAACTGGATCAGGCGCAAAAGTTTTTTTGGGGATGAAACAGAGTTGCAAAACAGGGAAACTTGAGGATGTTAGGTTTTTTAAGAAAATAAAGTTCCTCTGACTCAGGTCCTTCTCAAAAAATCAGAGACGACCCCCGTACCAAGGTTCCTTGTATAACAAAGGAAAAATTATGAGAAAAGTTACAGGAACAATTTTAAAAGAACGAGGTCAATCGACTCTTTAAAAGGAGATTTATTAAAATTGTTAAAGGGACAATGAGGAATATAACAAGAACAGAATTCAAATTTTAGTGAAGGAGGATAGGGAAAAACTTTGCCAATCCCCTGAGAGGATTTTTGAGATTGAAAACTTTGGTCCATTGGCAACAGTAATGAAATGAGGGAGTTTTCGAAGAGGAACATGAAAGGGGAAAGGGGGAAAAAATGGAAGGGATGTTACCAGGAGGATATGATCTTGAGGCCACATGAGTCAAGAATCCATGGACTATGACCTTCCACAGGATTTGAGAGAGGCAAAGCAGTTGGACACATTTGGCACATTGAGGAGGCGATATTGCCAAAGAGATTCCAAAGATATTAAATTAGAAGATTTTTTTAGGACTTTGTACCTCAAAAAAAACCAACTTGGTTACCTCTTCAATCAGGGAAATTCTTAGATTCTTGAATTAATAGATTTAGGAACAAATGCAGCTTTGTCTGGAAAAAGCCATGCAGGAATAACATTTATCCTTGGGGTGTTATGGGACCATTCTATTACAATATGGATCATGGAGGACAACCACTTCGGACCACCACGGTCCATTCCTTGATTGCTCCTTACCCTCCTCCTCTTCCTCGAGATTGTCACCATTGATGATGTTTTCAATAGCCATACTTAAATTCTCTTCCTTTACCAATGTAGGTACCCAAAGGAAAAGTCGATTAAACTAAAGCCAATCCATCGGACGGGATTGATCACCAGATTTAAACGTGATTCACGTACATGATCAAAAATTCAGAGTGTTTGGAAAAAACATTTTCAAAATTAGGGACCTGTAAAACTTGTCAAGCTTTTTTGTTGGAGATTTTCTAATGGAATTAGCTACAAAGAAGTTCTGTAACTCTTCTACCGCAGACCCGGAGCTTTTGGCAGGAAACCTTATTATAGTTTTGACTTTTGTTTAGAGAGAAGGTTGCTCTTTGGGTTGCAATTCAAAAAAGAGTTTGAACCATCATTAGCAAAAAAAAATATCTTGGGCCCTTTTTCCACAAAAAAAGACAAAAAAGAGGAGAGCACATTGTCCTTTATAAGGGTTTCTCCAAGTAATCTTAAAACTCTTGTCACACTGATTGCGCCACAAAAACCAGCACATAACTGAAAACTCTAATTTCTGCCACTGGAGATTTTTCTTCGTTTGGGACCATGACATATCTTGTTAAAGGTGATTATGGTTGTCCTGGGACCAAGAAAAACCACCAATTCCACGGGGCTTTGAGGGAACCATGGACAAATAATTTTTCCAATTTCCAATTTGCAGATGTGATTGTAAGAATAGGGGGTTGAATAGGGGTTGGGTTAGCAAATTAAATAATATTAAAGGGAGGAATATTACTTCCAGTTTTTAGAAAAGCAAGACACATTTTAAACTTAGGAGAAGAGAGGAGAGGAGGATGGGGGACTTAGGGTTTCAAAAAAAAAAAAAACGGGAAAGAGAAAGGAAAGGAAGAAAGAAGAAACCTATAGGTAGAGGGCGGGGGGCCCCAAGGCCACCCAAAAAAACAAGAGAAAAGAACAGTGTAAACAAAAAAAACACACTCAAAGAAGCCCCCGGCGAAGAACATATTCTGCAGGATGACCGGTGAAACTCTGAGGATCACCGAACTTGGGCCGGGGATGGAAGCGAAAAAAACGAAAAAAGGGAAGGCGGGCGCGTTGGCGGTTTGGTGCGGAGGCCGGAAGGGGCTTCGGAGGAACGGGGACAACTAGGGTTGGGTTGCGGGCTTCTCAAGGCGCACCCTAATCCTTGACTTCGCCGGAGGAGGAGGGGAAGGGAAAGGGGGGGGGGGGGGGAAAACGACGTTCGGCGGCTGCGGCGACGGGCGGACTGCCGGGAAAGAAAGCGGCGGTTTGTGGCGGGTGGTGCGGAGGGGCCTGCAGAGGGACTGGACAACACCAGGGTTGGGTTGTCGCTTCTCAAGGGCCACCACCCTAACCCTTGACTGAGACGGAGGGGGGGGGAAAGAAAGGAGGGGGGGAAGGGAAAAGCGGGGGGAAGGGGAAGGGGAAAAGTGGGGGAAAGGGAAGGGGGGGGGGGGAAAAGAAGGGGGGGGGGGAGGGGGGGGGGAGGGGGGGGGAGGAAATGGGGGGGGGAAAGAAAAGGGAAAAGCGACTTTGGGCGGCGATGGAGGCGACTGACGGGAGCGAACAGCAGGAGCGAAGGCGGAAAATGACAAGTTGGAGACGGATGCCGCCGGAACTATAGACGAAAGAGTCTTGGGGCTCTTTGATTTACCAACTTGAAGTTCAGACGAGAAGAGAAATCTTATTATTTTGATTTAAAGGTAAAAGTTGATAACTTTAACTGTTTGTTTTTCTAGAAGCAAAGAATTCTGAAAAAGGATTTTAAAAAAATAACAAAAGGGGGAGGGAAGCCCCTAACAAAACCCTAACATAAGTATTAATAATAAAATAATGACATTATACTTCAACAAGTCCCTTGCTGCATGCATGCAACAGAACAGGAAAATATGGTCTAAATATCAAAGGGTTGTTGGTTTGAAAGATATTGAGAAAAGGGACCATGTTGGTCTAAATATCAAAGGGTTATTGCATAGGCCATTGCATGCTGCAAGCTATTACCTTAATCCCATGTTGCACTGAGTTTAAAGTTGATTATGAGGTGAAACGTGGAATGTATGATTGTTTCGATAGGTTGGTGGGAGACATTGATGAGACATTGGATAGGTTCAAAAGCAAATATGGATTTTTTGGCAAGTCCAATAGCTCAACGTACACTAAAAATTAAATCCCCATCACAATGGTGGGAATCATATGGTGATGAACATTCAGAATTATAGAGTATTGAGTTTGACTTGAAGTTCATCCACTTTTTTAGCATAATTGGAGTGCATTTGAGAGGGTAAGAATTTAAATCTATGAAATTGATTTTATAGTTATCTTTTAGAGGCTATTATGATGTTTAAATAATTTTATAATTATTTAAGTCCATACCAAGAAAAGAAATCAATTACATTAAAAGACCATGAATGATGTGGTCTGTGATGGGAAATTCATGATTGAAGAAGGATGTTAGAAAAACAAAGGACTATAACATTAATGATGTTGCTTCTGATGAAGACAACTTAGTTGAAGTTGGAGAAGATGAAGATGCTAGTAGAGGTGGTGTTGCTACACCTATGGATGATCTAGAGGTTTCTCCAATTCTTTATAATGATGAAGGTCATGCAAGAGAGGACATTAATGGAAATGAAGATCATGTGGAGGATGACATTGATTATCTTGTATTTGATATTGTTAGATATATATTTTTATCTTATCTTTATCTTTTATCTTCAATTAGTTTGTTATTATCCTTTATTTGTATTTTGGTCTTAGTCTATTTTCCTTTTATTATACATTCAACACAAGAAAGATTAATCTCATACAAAGTTTTCACTATATTTAACAGATATGAAAGATTTTCTTGAATAGTTTGTTTGTATTAAACATTTATGAATTGATTAGGTGTTTTATGCATGACAATCTTATGAATTATGAACCTATTTTTAGTTGTTATTGACCATTTTATGAATTACGTATGAGATATTTTGATCATTTATATTATTTTTAATGATGCACCTATTTATGGTAATAACTTTTCATATACTCGTAACTCTTACAAGTTGATTTACGATATTTTATCCCCTTTTTGATCCCCTTACAATTCTCAAGTTTAACAACATTGGTGACAAGGAACAATAATATGCATAACATTCCAGAGAAACCGCATTAAGTAACAATTGAGGCATATTTCTTACCCCATATTCATCCATGACGTCAACCAGAAAATCTGTGAGTCCAGCAACAGATATTGACTGTTGAGATCCTTCAGAGTCAGGGGAAGAAATTATGCTATCAAGATCATCAAAGATAACCACAGATGGGGCATGATTTACAGCTTCAATTACATGGTTTGCAAGTTCTTGGCGAATAACTGGGACCTTCTCAAGGGTAAGTTTAGAGCAGGAAATAAAAATTCTGCATAACATTGAAAGCTGAAATCATTAAATCCAAACAGGAGCAATTGAAAATTACAATAATTGGGAAAATCATAAAGGAACAACTAAATTAGAATTAATATCAATACATGTGTGCAAAGATGTCCTCACGATTCTCAAGAGATTTTGCCACAGTTCTTGCTAATATAGTTTTTCCAGAGCCCTGGGGAAAATATTTAAATGTCAAATGCATTGATATTTCACTCGTCAGATTGGTAACCTTTTCTTGTGGCCAGATCAATAATATGAAGTAGATATGAAAGATTCACTAAGCATAATGTGAAATCTCAATATGAAGAGCTAGATTCTCAACTTAAAGACAAGCAAAGCAGGCAGTATTTTCGTGATGTGATATGAAGCAACTCTAAAACAAACTTCAGCCAATTTGAGGGAGTTGAGTAGGACTCACTTCATGAAGAAACTAAAACCAAGCTAAAAGAGAAAGGTTTACACAAATTGAAAATGAATTTGCATTACTCGTTTAAGTACAAGAACAGGTACTTATACAAACTCAGTAGCTTGCATAGCAAGTTATGCTGCCTAGACTACAGCTCATCTACCTACCTACCTAACGGTCAGTATAAGTTAGCTAGTTACTATCACATACTAAAGTAATTACAAGTGTAAACTATTCTATACACTGTCACTTTCCTTAAAATTTATCAAAGACATTACAAAAGAAAAAAGATTTCTTGGTATGTTTTGCAATTTAGTTTTTATTGGTATACGGTAATTACTCCTTAGCACTTTTACAGGCTACCACATCTTTAATCAATCAAGTTATCAATATATCCTAAATTGAAAATACACTTTAGCCAAAATTGATAGCAAGCAATGAAATTGAAAAATGGAGTCACGGGATATGATAAAATTATAATATATAAGTGGATTCAAATCTGACTTTAAATAATTGTTTTATAAGATTAAATTCAACTAAAAATCCACTTTCTAAAAGCCATATATGTTTTATATTGAACTTACGAAGGTTTATGTTGTACTCACAGGTGGTCCATATATGAGAACATGTCCAGGGAGTGGTAAGTTGTGTGTGCCAAACCACAAACCAGATGCAGAACATAACAATATCAACATTCCTGCAGTCAGCAAAAGCAGCAAATTAAGCCAAAGGGCATCTCAGTGCCAAAGAATGCATGATATTTAAGTGAATAAAATTCAAATTAATGAGGAGCAGCATCAAGGAGGAAAACAGATGAATCCAGCATACCTCAAACCAAATTCTAACAAACCCTCTATATTAACAGTCCAAAGTGACTAGGAAAAAATAGGGAATCTTACGCAACAAATAAGTTCAACAGATAAAACAGGTAGAACAGGATTAAGAACCATCGAGCTCAATTAAAAATCAAATTCTCACGGATATTATTCACATGAGATCTCTCTAAATAACTTCCTGCAGTATCCTTGCCAACCAATCATAACAACATATGCAAAGGTTATGGTCATGTTTAATTTTTATGTACAAACATTTTTTGCATCCTTCATTGCCAAGGGTTATATCTGTTGTACATATCATTTGGAAATTTTCCTACTTGGCTTGGTACATCTATTAACAACAATGATCATGAAGGACCATTTAAGATTTTATTGGGAAAAAAAAGGCCATGAGAACAATCAATTGATAAAGTAACAGACACTTAACCCCTCCACCTCCCCTTCCCAAAATAGACCTACTGTTGATAACATCATCCGCAGTTTTCTCCATCCAGCCAAGCGGAGATAGATTTGAACTAATGTGGTCTTCAGGGGTTCTCTCTTCTATAGAAACAATAGACACAGGATCACACAATTTCATCCTTTCAAAAACCTTCAGGTCCACAATACTAATGTTATCAAGTTCTCCTCCAAGAGCAACTTCATACGCACTAAGTTTCCCATTATGCAGATTTTCTTCACCAAATGTCAATAAAAACAACATTTCAGCTGCATTGCCACTGTTCTCTGAAGGACTATAGGCAAACTGAGCCTTCCCATTACTCCCAAGCTTGTAACAGCTTACTTCAAAATGAAGCAAGGTTTTATCACCCATAATCAAGGAACTAACCTCCATACCTGAAATGGAAGTAATTGCCTTAATTTGTGTGATATACCATAGTCTTACAAGACTCTGTAATTCCCTTGGATTTTGAGATTGATTTGTATTCTCTTCCTCTGCTTTGTGATTGAATTCATCAGAGACAGCTTCTAGAACTTTATTTTGGATTGACCAATCTATAGTATCCACAAAGAAACCTGATGTAGCTTTCGCTTGGACTTTTTTATCAATGTGATGATTGTGGCCATGAGAAACTTCTAGACCATCTTTCTCAACAGAATTCTCCTGCCTTAGTAGTTTGAATTGACAAGGAAAAAGAGAGGTTGAAGGAATATTTTTTTCCAAAATAGTATTGCATGCCTTCAAATAAACCCCTATTCAATCACAAAGGCAATTCTTGTTAAAATCAGATATAAAAAATAAAGGTAAATTTTCAACTGATATATACATTGAACACGGACAGTAAAAATTCTCAGAGATAGTAAGCTTAATATCGTTGGAAAATCTATAATTATACTCTTGCTAAAACCAACAAATCCAGAAAAAAGGAGCAAACCTCCTTAGACCCTTCCACTGTAATTTTCTTCAAATACCATATTTTAAGTTTATGTACCTGGGCTAACCTACGGTTTTTCAAACTAAAAAACAGCTTATTCCTTAATCAATGCATGACAGCTTGATGCACAGTCAAAATGCAATTAGAGACTGCTTTTCTCCTAACTATAGAAACAGATAACCTAACACCAAACATAAAATACATTTAATAATAATTTGCTAGGTGCAATATTCCTCACAATTAAACTCATGAGAAAATAACCTGCAATTGATTGCTAAATACAAAGGATCAGGTAAGATGGATATTAGGATAAATTGACATACATGAACGTAGGCTAGCTCTCAAATAAAGTCGAAGAGACTTAGCTACCATCACATGTCCTTCACCCACAGATTCTGAAATCATCAACTGAGCAATTGCTTGTCGATATTCTGTCTTGTCAATATTTACATTTTCAACTTCATTAGTAGTTGAACCACCTCTTTTTTTCATAATATTAATTCTTGAAATATTAACATTCTCCTTGGAAACTCTGGGTACTATCAAAACCAACTGAAGCATGTTGAATGAGTATCTTTTGGCTGTTTCTGGGTGAACAAAAGCAACAGTAGTAAGCCCTACATTGAGGTCAACTCCTTTGACATGAGTACTGATACTACATAATCCTTTTGGATCTTGTAAACGAAGCAGCATCTTAGAAGTGTGTTCTTTATTAAAGGAGTCTTGGCGTGAATCTCCTGCTGAATCCAAACTTTTTTTGCGACTTTTTGGAGCAACAGCAACTTTAGTTCCTCCCATTAGTTGCACTGACAAAGTCTCAGGTGTTAGATTGATAATCAAAAGAAACTTGTTTACATTAGAACAGTAAGAATCCTCTGAATAAGAGAATAATAAATAATTAGGTATAATGCCACCTATTGAATTTTTAGGAACAAAGGCAGTTCTTAACAGAGATAAAAACAGAGATCCAAAACTAATAAAATACTGAGAATGCAACTTAATTTAAATACACTCAGAAATTAACAAACTAAGATATCAGCTTGTGATTCTAGCCACTAGCTTAGCAAACAATTGGGGAATAATTAATCCACTAACAACAAATTGAAATGGAATAAACTTGGCTTACTTAAAACTGAAACAAATCTGGAAAGTTCCTAAAAGTACACAGCATCTAAAGGTGCGTTCTCAACATATAACACTATAGACAAACAGATAGCACTAATACATTCCATGAAGCACACACTTGGCCATCTCCATGATTGATCTATTTATCCTTCCATTCACTCCATTTTGTTGAGGTGTGTAAGGAGTCAACAACTTATGCTTAATCCCAACTTCATCACAAAATTGTTGAAATTGATTAGCTATATACTCCTTTCCATTGTCTAACCTTAGAAGTTGAATACAGCAATTGCTTTGATTTTCTACATGTGCTTTGAATTTCCAGAATACTGCAGCTACTTCTGATTTGAATTTAAGAAAATAAATCCAGCACATTCTTGTTATTGTGTATACTGCAGCTACTTCCTTTTAGTGATGGAGTTCTTTGTGGTCCACCAGTAGTGTGAACAAGATTCAGTTTCTGAGTTACCTTCCAGCTACTTTCAGGAAATGGTTTCCTTGTTTGCTTCCCAAATTTCCAAGCTTCATAGTCAGCTGGCTTTTCTGTAATGGAATGAATTCCATGAACTAGTTGATTTTTCAGCATGTAGTTCATTCCCAAATGATAGAAATGACCTACTGCTAGGTATGTCCCTTAACATGCCACAAGATAAGAATATATAGACTTTCCTAAAAGGTCTCCCCCCTGTAAACACTAGTCATTTCACTACTTTTATCTTTAAATTTCTTCCTAACCCTCTCATTACTTCCATGCCTAACTCCTATCCTTCTGTACCAAAGATTGACTGAGCTTGCTATAACTGAAAATGCAATTTGCTCCTTTTTTGTTGGATAAAAATAAAACTTTGCTCCTCAACTTGACTTTGAACATTTCAAGGCCTATTTGATCATTGATTATGCAATTTTTATCTTCAAAGATAACTTTGAACCCTTTCTCAAGCAGCTAACCAACACCAAGCAAGTTCTGGTTAACATCAGGTACATATAAAACATTATAAAGGGTTTTCACACCTATTTAGCTTGTTATAGCTATTCATCCCTTGCCTTTTACTGGAATTTGTTCCAATTCTGACCCATTTGACTTCAATGTTGTCCAAACACTTGAATAGTTCTATGTCATAATGATTGTTACAGTTAAAGAACTCAGATTTAAGTAAAACAGTGTATTTTTCCTTTTTGTTCATTGTTACAATTTACTCCTGTATTTATAGAGTACAATAGTGTAGAATACAAAAGGTCAAGCACTTCCTAGAACCCTAACTAATAGTTGGATTCTCATACATAAATAATAATAAAGAACATTACATTTCAATACTCTCCCTCAAGCTGGAGCATATAGATCATATGGACCAACCTTGGAACATATAAATTGAATTCTAGGCTCCCTTAGAGATTTGGTAAGAATGTCTAAAATTTGTTCATTAGAGATGATAAATTCAGTAACAAGACCCTTGGACAGCATATTCTATCTAATCAAAATGACAACAATTTTTATATGTTTTGTTCTCTCATGAAACATTGGATTAGAGGCAATGTGAAGGGCTACTTGGTTGTCACAATACAACTTCATTTACTCATTTTCACAAAATTTCAACTCTTGAAGGATTTGTTTAATCCACACAAGTTTACATGTAGTAAGAGCCATAGATCGATATTCCACTTCTACACTAGATCGAGCAACAACACTTTGTTTCTTACTTTTCCAACATAAAATGTTCCCTCCAAGTAATACATAATATCATGTGGTAGATTTTCTGTCAATTGGACAACCAGCCCAATTTGCATCACAATATCCTTTGACTCAAGTACTACCCTTGTTCTCATACAACAATCCATGTCCTGAGTTC